TGTCAGCATGAATGATAAACCACGAAAGCAGTTAGGGTTTTGAGGCCAGGACGGAACTCTCAGATATACTTATGTATAGGTCTCGTATAGTTTCCAGTTAACATTTAAACTCGACGAGTATTTGTAATGTATTAAACCTTCTACTTCTATGTACCTAATGCGTACTGCGTGTGCTCCCTAATCAAACCTGCCGAAATCCAATGCCTATCGCGATAAAACACTTAACACACCAACACCACACCCACATATAACACCCAGATCGGCATCGGCAGTATAGAGCTTTGGTATGGGCCGGCATTGACGACCATTGTGTGCGGTCTGCTTTCCCTAACTTATGTATTTTCCGTCATTAAAGCCGGTGGTGTTGGCAAGAATGGCTCCACAGTTGCTGTAAGTCCTTAACACACACAGAACACACACACGAACACGAACACGAAACACTAAAACCACTACAACAAACACACACAAAACAAAAAATATTTTGGCTCCTCAAAAGAGATTGATCTGAATTAAAAGAGTTTTCAGTTTCCACCTAGCTTTCTATTTGCTGACTAGCTCAGCTGAGTTTCGAGGAAGGTGCGTGGCGTGAGGATAACCCCTTAACCCCTCTATCCCACTCTCTAACCCCAATTGCTTGCCTATTTAACCTGTGCCGTTGTTGATTCTTGTTCAGTGTCTTTGGTTTTAACGGCGCAGCTGCTGCAAAATAATAATCTGCTTTGTTGCTATTGAAACCACTCAATCATGACATAATTGGAAGCAATTCGAGAGCATGCCTAAAATAAACAAACATACACAATAACTATTTGAGGCTGCTGAATGCAAACTTTAAGTTAATTCTTAGTTACCCCTAAAATAATCTATGTATTGCCCTGTCCAATTGTCCATTTGACATTTTTGGTATTTCTATTTACTCTTTATGTCTTCAATGTCTTCCGGTTTTGGATTTATCTATTTAACCAAAAAGTAACATTAAAGTATTCGCTATTTCTTACGTATTCCCTTTAAGTTTAGATTGTAAGCGAGGGCTGTGGGGTGCTCACAGCTTGTAAGCCACTGTTAGCACCCCACGACCTCTTTAACCAATCCAAACATTATACCAACAAATTTTCCCACCCTCTGAATGTAGTCGAAGATTCTAAATTTTATGTTTTCTTGCAATCTTTCATCTTTACTAGATACCAATCGTGGGCCTTTCATGGAATTATACAATATTAATATTTATCACATTCGGTTATACCTTGAATATAATCAATTTCCTAAAAATGTTTACTGAAGGCGGCAGTGGCAAAAACGGCTCCTCAGTTGCTGTAAGCATTGCACCCTCCTCTCGCAATAACGAGGCGAAAAACTATTATAAAACCAGTGAAACATAACAGACTAACTTGAACGCGGGTCATCAACTAATCCGCAGCCCCAGCCATAACATTTTTATCTAATCCTTGGTTCTGCTTTTGGGTTCTCTACTAATATCCGTTTTGCATTTTCCGTTGACTTGGATTTGGAAATGGCTTGCAGTTTCGGCTCGTTCGGTGGAGGGCTCAGGAATTTGGTTTGGGCTCTAGCACTCGATAATTTCCTAATCCCCATACCGACTAATACGACATATCACTGATTTCCATACTTAGCATGCTGCTGCTTGGGTTTTACTAGTTTCCTAAGCGGTATTACTGTATATTGATTTAGTAATCGAGTGAAATTGGTATTTGTTATTTTGATTTTTAGCTTAAGTGTAAATTTAATCAACATAAATATTATCTTGACCTTGGTGAGTTTGGAGCTTGTAACGTATTAACCTATAAGTTTTTAAGCCTCACTTCTGTTAACGAAAGACTTCTGGAAAAACCACAACTGTTCCGTAATTACACATGAAATTTTAATGCGCGTCGTTCTTTTCTCCCGCACGCAATCAAACAATCAACCAATCGATCAATATCGTTTGACAAAACCAAAACGAACCCGAAACCCATTCCCCATAAACCTTGAAATTGGCAGCTACCGTACTTCAACTGCGAAACCCGATTTCTGCCAATTTATGTGGCCTGCGGCGTAGATTTGATTCTAGCACTCCGCTACTCGAAGTGCATTTTGACCGAAGGCTGCGGCAAGAACGGATCGTCGGTTGCTGTAAGAACTTTTCCCTTAAGTTGATCTCGAAGAACTCCCAGCGAGATAGTCTCGTCCTTGTCCTGGTGTGCAGTGCGTTTGCCAAAACATACATAGCCCATGTGGTATCCGGTATCCCGTGTCTTATGTGGTTTAAACGCACTGTAAATCGGCTTCGGTTACCTTCTTTTGAGTAATGCTATCTTTATCGATCCCAGTGCACGTCTAATGTTCGTTGACTTCTAGTATATTTATTTGTTTAGCTCGTAGTTCTTGTTTTGGTGACAGTTTGGCATGGCATGTAGTTTGTAGTTTGTTTTCGTTTGGCATTGTGCTTTCGTTTGATAAATTGGCTTCGTATACTGACATATGTGCATTTTAAAACCCACAAAAACCAACCAATCCACCACCCACACACCCGCCCAATAGCGCTAGACCATGTAAATAATACATGTAATAAACAAATCTGTAAGCGCAATTCCCCCTCCAGTGTTCTCTTTAAATTTCTGGAGGGGAAATTGCTGAACCCCAAACACCAAAAGCCAAAAGACTTTTTGTTCACTTTTGTTTGTGCACTCTCGAATTGTTGCGACCTTGCAAAATGTGCCGTAATTCACAATTGACTAACAAATCGTTTAAAGTCCAATCAGCACAACGCCGCCCACGGTGACACTTTGCAAGCGTGCAGCAAACCTCAAGTAATCCCTCTAACGTAGTCTTCTCCGTACTCCCGCAGGGCACCAGTGTCCTGTCGCCCAGCATCCCGCTCACGCTGGTGGTGCTGCCCGCCCTGATGATTGCCCAGAAGTCGCCCCAGAACATCTTCACCGAGCACGCCTCGGTGTACATCCTGGCCTTCGGCATGGTGGCCGCCAAGGTCACCAACAAGTTGGTGGTAAGTCCGGGAAGATTCCCCTTGGTCCAGTTGGTTTGGGTCACCATGCCACTGGTGTTCCGTAAATGATAATAATACGAATGATTGATGCTGAATGCGTCAGCTCAAGTCCAGCGTTGTTTTGATGGTTATTCGTACATTTTATAATTTAAAAAAATTCTTTCTAAAATCAATTTATGTCAAGTGTGACTTAATCAAACAAAAAAACATATTAACGTTATATTATCTCGTGGCGACCAACCTTTCTGAAGAAAAATAATGATACATTCTCATTCGTAAGCGACTTTGCACACTTTTGTGGTGCTCTTCGGTACTACGTGACTGCCACCCATTTGAATAATATTCTTGCGGTGCGATTTAATTTTGCAATATAGTTCATATCATCCACCATTAAAGGATTCCTAAACAAATCTAATGCTTTTCTTACACCATGACCGCAATGATTAACGTATCATACAAATCAAAGATCAAATCAAATCAACTCGGTTAATTATTTTAGATTTGAAATGTTAAGGATATCTTCAGATATATTGACTTGGTAAAGAAGAAGAATTTATTTTAAAGTAAAATATAATATTTGTCAAGGAAGCAGACATGAACTGAAATTGGAATACATTACATTCTTTTCCCGAACTAATTTTAGGAAGAGTGTAAAAGGTGATCCAAGTTGATCAAATTATCAATCAGTTTTGCAATTCCCTACAAACTAATCGTAAAGATAATATTATAAAGTCTAAACTCAATTGATCGTATTGTTTGCCCACAGATTGCCCACATGACCAAGTCGGAGATGGAGTACCTGGACTGGTCGCTGCTCGGTCCCTCGCTGCTGTTCCTGAACCAGTACTTCAACTGCATCGTGCCCGAGATCTGGCTGCTGTGGTTCACGCTCATATGGGGCACCCAGGATCTGCTGCGGTACTGCTCCCAGGTGTGCCTGGAGATCTGCCAGCACCTGCGCATCGATCTCTTCCGGATACCGTACGCGCCCAAGGGCCTAACCCCGCATCCGGCCACCGCCTCGGTGAGCAGTCAGAGCAACATTGGCAGCAGTGCGGACAAGAACGGCGGCACTGCGCATCGGAAGTCGAAGAGCAAACCGCACTAGGTTTCGGCTTCGCGCTACATTAATTAGTTTTCTTTTACAAATTTACGTCGTTAGAGCCGAGGGATACTCGTAGGAGCAGGCGGAGCGCAAGTAATACAAACCCGTAAACACAACCCAACAAAATTCACCGTCAATGTTTAAGCTAAACCAGGAGAAACACAACCAAACGAAACGAAACAAAACAAAACAGATAGAAACGTTAGCAAAAGGGCGAAGCAAAACGTTGCTCCTACATTTTAGGAAATAGTTTACAACACGTGTTGTAGCCGAGAAGGCGAGGTGACTAGGGCTGCTGGGAGAAAGAACTGTTGCAGTCTCCGATATCAATTATATGGCTAAATATATAAACATAAATATATTTTGTATGATTGTGTAAGTTGTAATAAATCTAGATTGCAGTATTTTTACTGTGCTAAATCATACTTGTGCAAATGCCAAAAAGAAAGCAGAATAAGCCTAAAAATAGCTCGATGAAAGCTCAATTTACGTTTAAGTCTTGTGACCACCCATTGGCGATCTATCCATCCCACAAAAGACAACAAATTAGGTGCGAGCGCAGTTGCGATTTTCAGTTGAGGCCAGTATATCTATTCATGTTACTCGTTTTAGTGCTTAGTTTTCTACTCATCGGGGTCGTTCGAAGGGCCGCGACATTCTAAATGGTGACTCATTTCAAAAAGCGCACTACCTATCCTGACTAGGCCCATAATTTTAGTGCGTTTCGCGTGACTACATCTTATGCATCCTAATCCTAGCTAAACCCCATATTATTTGTAGCTCGCACGGCGCTGGCCGGCAACTTTATAGTTAAACTATTATGGATTATGTTTTATGTTGTACAAGAAAATGGAGACAAAAGAAACAGCAAGAACTAGAAATAAAACGAATTGCTAAAACTAAAAAAACATGTATTCATTTGGTGGTGTTTATACTCAAACTTAAAAGAAATTGCTGGAAAAATACTTAAAGTTAAGTTAACATTTTAAGATGATATGGACTATTAGTGGGCCCGGTCGATGATGAAGCCCATCAATGCCATGTCGCGCACCTCCAGAGTGACGCGATTGCGGTGCTTGGTGAGCATGTAGGAGTCGGCCAGACGATGCGTCACGAACAACTCGGAGGACACCTGCAGGGCGTTCAGGGCGCCTTCGGTGATCCTCATCGGTGCTCCGTCGCTGTACTTCACGATGAACTCGCGCACCAGACGCGAGAAGGGCAGCTTGGGTAGCAGAATGCCGGGATGGTTCTGCAGATGCCGGATCTCGCGATCCATCCTCCTGGCTCGGCTCAAGGGGTTGGCCATCTTGCGTCGCCTGGTCTGATTTTGGGCACCGGCCGATCCGGTGGATGGTGCTTGCGTCCTGACCGGCTGGCTGGGGGCCTGACGCCTCTCCTGCTGAGCGGTCGCCCGGCTCGTCTGCGCCGATCTGGCTGCTGGAGGGTGATTCTCCTGATCCTCCTCATCGCTGGAGGTTCTGTCCGCTGCTCGCGACCTCTGGCCGCCTGCAGTCTCCTTGCGCAGCGTCGAGCATTGGCGATTGGAATTCAGGGTGAGCCGGCTTGTGGTGAACTCCAAGCCGTAGTCGGTACCATCTTCTGGCTCAGGCGATCGGAAAGCCGTGTCGTCGTCGCTTCCTGCGTTCGTGTCGCCCAGCGTTGGCTTGGACACTTGCGCCTTGGGTCTTCCCGCTCCTTTTTTTCTGGGCATGATTCGAACTCACCAATTTGAAAACACAGCAATTCGTAAATTTTAAAGCGCGATCCCGCTTCTTTCTTACAGTGTGGCCGTATTACACAATGCCGAAAATTCCAAGTAAAGGAGCTGGAGTTGATATATTGAATTTATAATTTCCGAATTATATCGAATATATTCTAAACTGTTAAATCGATAAAAATTCAACAGAAAATTTCAGCAATTGAGGGAACGAATCTATATGGTTCCTGTTGAATTTTCAAATAGCTGTGACCAACTTTTTCGGAAGTACAACCCTGTATTTTTTTTATCACAAATGAATGCCTAAGATTATTAAGAAGGACTGAGAATATACTTTCTTTCTACTACCTCTTTCTACTTTTACTATAATGTTACTGAGTTGCCATTGCTTTTTATTGAAATAGGATTCTAAATTGATTTCAAAGTAAAAATGGTTACTGATGATACTATATTGACAGCTCTGGTTTTCAGCAGTTCAACAGCCTCGAGGTTGTTGAATCGCTGGAATTTCTTTAAGTTTAGTTTGTGTGGCCAAAATTCAACAAATCAGCAAGTCAACAGATTAGGGGTACCATAATTTTTAGAAATGTTTGTAAACAGATTTTGAAAATTCCATTGAAATCGATTTACCATTTGGTATCGATAAGCACCCACCTCTAATCTCTACCCAGCTGATCCGAAATTGTGTTGTTTACCATTTACCACTTAGGATATTTGCCTAATTTGGCCATTGTAAAGAAATCTCAGAGGTCGAAGGTCACTGCCATGTCGGAGGATCACGGGAAGGACTACACCCTGGAAGGCGACTCCGAGCTGCGCTTCGAAATCGAGCAGAAGGACGCCAAGGTCCTGGTGTCTGTAAGTTGATCCACCACTGCGGCCTTTAATAAGTTACTTATTCCTTTAATCTTCCATCCCAGCTGGTCAATGGCTTCGCGGAGATGTTCGGCACAGAGCTGGTCAAGAAAAAGCAGTACGAGTTCGGCATGGGCGCCAAGGTGGCCATTTTCACATACCAGGGCTGTGTGCTGCACGTCTCCGGCAAAATGGACGTGTGCTACATCTCCAAGGAGACGCCGATGGTGCAGTACGTCAACTGCCATGCGGCCCTTGAGCAATTCCGCACGGAGGCCGAGGAGAAGGACCGTCGGGGTCCCGTGGCCATGGTCGTCGGTCCCATGGACGTGGGCAAGAGCACGCTCTGCCGCATCCTGCTTAACTACGCGGTGCGCGTGGGTCGACGGCCCCTGTACGCCGACTTGGACGTCGGCCAGGGCTCCATTGCCATTTCCGGCAGCGTGGCCACCATCCTCATCGAGCGGCCGGCGAGCGTCGAGGAGGGGTTTGCCAAGACGGCGCCGCTGGTCTACCACTTCGGCCACAAGTCGCCCAGCGGAAACAGTGTCCTGTACAATGCCGTCGTCTCCAAGATGGCCGAGGTCTCGCTGCAGTCCCTGAGCAGCAACAAGCGCAGTGAGTGCCTCATATCCATAAGTTCTGTTAAAGCCTTAGTTGTTCCGTGTTTTTTGATGTCAGGCTGACGGATAACCTGCCTAGAAAATCCGCTTGCTAATGATATTTTACTTGTTTACCGCTTTAACCTTTTCTATTTGTATTCAATATCCTGTGTCTTCGCCTTTAAGATAAGCTAATTCCATCTGAAAATCTATCATTATCTATCCTTTCCAGCAAAAAGCTCCGGCATCATAGTAAACACCTGTGGCTGGGTCAAGGGCTCCGGTTATGCGCATCTGTTGCACGCTGCCCAGGCGTATGGGGCCTGTGCCATCTTTGTCTTGGATCAGGAGCGTCTGTACAACGAGCTACTGCGCGATGTGCCCAAAGGTGTCAATGTGGTGCTGCTGCCCAAGAGCGGCGGTGTCGTGGAGCGCAGCAAAGAGCTGCGGCATGAGGCGAGGGATCAACGCATCAAGGAGTACTTTTACGGAAACTCAAGGGCCCCCTTCTACCCGTTCAGCTTCGAGGTGAAGTTCCAGGATCTGCGCCTGTACAAGATCGGCGCTCCGCCGCTGCCAGACTCCTGCATGCCAATAGGAATGAAGGCGGAGGACAACAAGACCAAGGTGGTGGCCGTTACTCCCACACCAGCGCTCATCCATCACGTGCTGGCACTCAGCTTTGCCGAGTCCGTGGAGGATGATGTGATTGGCACCAACGTCGCCGGCTTCTGCTGCGTGTAAGTGCTGGTTTCTCAAAACTGATTGGTTATACTAATATTAATTGGTGTTCTTATCTCCAGCACTGAAGTGGATATGGAGAGGCAGGCCGTGATGTTGCTTTCCCCGCAGCCCAGACCTCTGCCACCAAATGCCCTGCTGCTGTGGTCGGAGCTTCAATTCATGGACAATCACACCTAGCATTTATAAATGCTCTCGTCTAGATGTACTTTAGGAATTATAAAATTATTATTGGTCTTTATTCAAATATACTGTTTTAGATATATACAACATTTATACCTTTTGCATGTCTATAGCTTCAACTTTTAAATTTCACTTGTAAAAAATGGGCAATAAAAAAATTATTCATACTGACGCTAAATCACTATTTTGTAAACACTTGCTCATATATACACTTTTGAAATACAAAGTCTAGAACTTAAGATTAATTGCATTAGCATTTAAATGTTCAAGTTGCGTTTCTGAAATTATAAATATCAAAATAAAACAGATTTTCAAGTCAAATATAGAAATATTATAAACACAGATTTTGAATTAAAGTAAATACAACTTCTTGCATTCCATATGTTATTAGAGAGAAAAAAATAACATGAATAAATAACTTTTAATATAAAGATTGGAGACCAAGATTTTTTACTTCTTTTCCCGCTCCAAGAAGAAGGGTTATGTCACGACTATTCTTTAATAGTACGATCCGTCTCTTATATTGATGAAATAGCCAAATGTTTTGTTGTTGGTGTGCAGTTTTAATGCTGCCTAAAGTTACTGGCTTGCAATTTAACCACTATCTTGCCAACAACGGGTTATTCGGGAAGTAACAGCAGTAATAGTAAATTCAAATTTAAGTGTTCAGCAAGGTTCCCAACCGGCAGTATTACTTTTCGATGAATATATTTTTAGTATATTTGGAACACTAGATAGGGTTTGATTTAGTACATTTGTGGCAGCCACTCCTAGGCTAAAGTGCGTCGCCCCAGTGCGGTCACACTGTTCGGAAGAGCGAGACGAAAAACACGGCAACACGGCGAGCGGAAAACCCAGTGAAAAGTAAATCAAATATTTACAAAACAAAGTAACCACAAAATGGCTACGCTCGGTCGAAATGCGTGAGCTAAACAACAAATAGTGGCCAAATGGACTTGGTTAACACACTTTTGGCGGGCTCTAAGCTCTAGTACTTCGGAATTTGGCGTGTTTTTCGGGTTTGTTGTGCAGCGTGCGAGGTGCTGCTGTTGTTGTTGTGTAAATGTGTATCAAATGGTTCTAAAAACAAAACAAGAGTTTTCGGGCATCTAAATTTACGGCTTGCTTGAAAGACGTTCTGTTTTCTCCGCGTGTGTGTGTGCGTGTGTTTTCGTCTCCCTCACTCTGTTGCTTTGTTGCTGCATTTTCCAGCGGCAAACGGCGTTTGTTTTGGTTGTCGTCGTGAAATTTTCCACTGGAAAGTGCAGCAGCGCCTTTTGGGGGTTGCACACACACCGTCAATCGCCGGCTTGTTGCGCCGTGGAAGCGACAAAAGGTCCCCCCTAATTACCGAGTCGCCTTATCACTTACACTACTTCCATTTAGCAACCAGGTGGGCGGGGAGGGGGCCGCGGTCGGGGTCACCCCCACACAGTTGCACAATTGCTTATCACTCGCTACTTAACGACAACAACAATTTGTAGCACGCACACAGGCAGCACACACGCAAACAGGGCGATCACACTGATCAACAAAAGAAACGGGAAATTAAATTAAATTAGGAGAGCAACAGCACAAAGCCAACACTGCGCAACAAATCAAAAAACGCACTAAAAATGTTAAAAAATTCAAATGATGACTTCTAGTAAACTTGTAAATTCGTTAAATTCGTTCCCCTTAAAAAAGTGCTTGCAAAAACTAAAAACATTTGAGATTAAAGCCAAAAATCGGAACGGAAAAGTGAAAATATGGCTCAATAAAAAGGAAATTCGAGACCTAAAAACAATAAGTCACTTGTTTACAAAAATAACATAAATACTCTTGCACTCCTACTTATGTATCTTATGTATAAAAAAATACAAAAAAAAAAAAACAGATGAATAAATTAAATAATATATTTACACAAACTATACAAAAGAATCAAATTTCCTTTGAAGAAATTTATTATTTTAAAAGGGTTTATAACATCAAAGCTAAAACAACACTAAAATTATTTTTTTTGTAATATGTTACAATATGTAACAAAAACATTAACAGATGAGAGAAGTTGAAAATGTAATTTTGAAAGCCCTCCAATAACCGAGCCTCTTATACCCAAACAATCGAATGACCTGCTTTCAAACTTGCCCCTCTTTTCCACTTGCAGTTTTTCCGTGTGATAATTATGTGCGCCTAAGGAAAGACAAACGATCGGGTCGCGTCATCTGTTATTGTTTGCGCCAAATGTCTTAAAATTCCGGAGATTGTGCTTCCAAAATAAGATGGCCCTCGAGCCATACATAAAGTCTGCTGAAATCGAACCTCAATTGTGCCAAGTTATAGCAAATAATAAAGATGTGACAACGAAAGCGACGAAGTGCGCGACATTTAGCCGGGGAGTGGGATGGCGACATCTGCTGATCGGCTTTCTACTGATTTGCTTTGGCATCTCAAACAGTTGGCAGTACAAAAATGGTAAGTTCTGTACTTTCATTTCGAACAAAAGGCGTCGCTTTTGCCAAAGGAATTGACGAGCATTTAATGGCAGCTCGATTAATTCGACGAGTTCCGAGGGGTTGGGGTTTGAGTTTAAACCACAGGGATAGAGAGTTTGTAAAAGGAATAGGGCTGCGATGTCTTTCTCCTTTATTCTGCTCAAAGCCTTTCGTTTTACAGAAATCGCTCGATACGGTCAACCAATGAAATCAAACATGGTTTCCCTGAAGCGGTTGAATGAAAAAGATATTTCTTTTTAAATCTTTACTAACTTACAAGAGGTTTTCAGTAAATGAACAGATTCTTATGTGTTCCATTTCGACAAAAAGTGAAAAAGACTTCTAGAAAGAATCGGAGATAGATCATAATCAAGCCTACAATACATACAATTTATATATATATCGCTTGGGACACACTTTGTCTTGGTCCACTTATTTTAATCATGCATGTGTCGCTAAATGTATGATCCAAGCATTTAAAAAACAGCTGTTCAAGTTCGGCAACAAGTTCATAAGTGCATTTAACTCGGAGGTAACCCTTACGAGTGTCCACTGTGTTCGTTTGTTTATGTGGTTTCAACTGCACTTTTGAGCTTCCCTCCCCTCCCCCGCTCCGCTTTTGAGCCCTTCTTTTACCGCTTTGCGTTTTCCTTTAAGCTCTTTTTCGTGTTGTCAAAGCCCAAAGGCTGACAATTTCTCGGCGCAATGCTTTTATGAATAAACAACTACTACTTATTTAGACTGTAGTACGCACTCAACTTGATTGCACTGCGCATAATTTAGTACCCCTTCCTTTTTGCGGCTCCTCCAAACACTTTTCCGACTAGATGCGACGCTAATGAGCTGAAAAAAGCAGCTCACTAATAATTCAGCAGTTGTAATATGGCAAAGTTGCCCGGTAATTGCCGGCATATTTCAAATGCACAAAGCATTGACCTGGGACAAAAAATCATGCACTCTGAAAAATCTGTGGGTCTAAACGGAAAGTGTAAGCTTAAATCTAAGCCATTAGGCGCTGTAAAGGTACCCATAAATTTTTCTAACTTGATAAATGATTGAATTTGTTGAGATATACAACTTTACAACTAGAGGTTTTCATACAACAATTTTCCTTCTTAGCGAATAAGCTGTTCGGAGTTAGCGGTGGCTCGTGGGAAATTGTCTCTGCAACGATCTTTTTAAATGGTAGAGTCATGTTATAATCCAATTATTATTTTATAAAAAGCCATTTCTAAGCTATACGTTTTTCTCCAGTGTGGCTTATAATAAGGCACAAAGGGCGGGAACGGATGGGGGACCCCTGCGGGTCAAGTCAATATGGAAATAGCAAATGGACAAAGGCCGTCCAAACATCGTTAAGCCCCAAAAAGTGGACGGTCGAGTGTTTGGCTGAAAGATAAGCCCCCGCTCTTTGGCCCTCTCCTTCAGTTGCAATCCGGAGTTTCGGAGACCGGAACTGCGAGTACTCCAGCATGCATTGGGGCGCCCACAAAGCAAGTGGCGCCGCCCCGAAAAGGAAGCCCGAAACTTAAATTTGTCGAGCCGGGTGGAAAAAAAGCGCATCAAATATGTACACAAAGCTCCGGGAAAAACCATCTCCATCTTTCCTGACTCTTCCTCTCTTTCGCTGTGTGTGGGTTGTGTGGGTGGTTGGGTGGTCGGATGGGCGCTTACTTTCTTTAACACTTTGACGCGCGCACAAAGTGTTTTTTGCCTGCGTTGATTTGCTCCGCTTTCCCCGTCTCCTGGAAAAGCCCCCACTGCCATAACACTCGCCCACCCACTTCTTTAAACCTTGTTCTTTTTTGCAGCTACTGACGTTTTTGCCGCTGTCACTCCGTGTGGGGGATCCCCCTTTTCGTCCTTTTGCGTCAGAGCTCGACGCTATTTGCTTTAGCTTCTATTTACTACGCCGTAGTACGCCAGTTTAGTAGTAATGGGAGTACTTCAAAGGCGACGGCGCCTTTGACGCCACATCCACCGCCCACTGACGACATCCTGCCAGCCTGCCAGCCTGCCATCCTGGCAGCTTTTGCGTCCCCGCGGGACACTCGACATTTCACTGTTGTTGACATTGATTTTGATTTCATTTATGTGTGCACCAGTCCCACTTTCCACTTTCCACCAGCACTGACATTGGCTTAGAACGCCTGTCAGCACTCGCGACACTTTGTCTTTCTTCTCGGGATTTGTCCAGGGACTATTACCCGCTACTATTTGCAAATTATCCAATTAAAAATGCATAAAATGCATATGTATGTCAGTTGTCAGCTTAGCAAAAGTAATTGGAGGGCCTTGAAACTGTTTGTCAGTTGGGTATAAATTACTTCAACTATTGATTAAATTATTTAAAAGGGAAATCTTAAATTTGAAATCTGTTGACTGTCTATGAAAATACATGTCAGAATTACGCCCTCTTAGGAATTGTTAGGAATGGCGTTCTTAAATGTAAGATTTGCCTATCTTAATTGCCCCTGGGAATAATTACCGAATCATCTTAAATGATACATTCCTAAGCCGGTGGAACTATACATTTTCCCAATTACTATAGGTTCATACCAACATTATATAAAGTACCTATATAAAGTATAAATGGCGACCAAAACCATTTTAAATTTGGGCTGCTGCTGGAAACCAGAACCCAGAACCATAAAACGCCCGAACGCATGGCAAACACAATTGGGCTTTAACTAACCCAATCATCCTGGGACCCATCTGCATTCCGTATGCAAACTGCTAAAACCAAAGGCAAACTCTCGGTCCGCCGGCACAAATGTATCACTTTGCAATTTAAACAATAATGTTGTGGTGTGGTCTGTCCGGAGTGAGTGTATGCGTTTGTGTAACGTATCTGTGTTGGCCGGCAGATTGGTTGCAACTTGCAGTGCGGCAGCAGCAGCGGCATCAACATCATTATCATCATCATCCCATCATCCTCATCAACGCGCCGTCCTCCTCTGGCCGCAGATTTGTGTGGGCGGGTTGGCCTGGCACTGACCTCTGTGATGGGTGGAAATGTATGTGCCTTGATTGTGTGTTTGCACTGGGAAAAACATTAGGAAAAGATCATTAATAGGTCTGAAATTGGACACTGATGATATCATAGGTTGCCTTAAAATTTAACTTGTGTTGACCGTTTGAAAATGGTATATTCATCAAAATTGTTACTTAAAAAAGAGAAAATCACCAATCTATAATCGATTTTTATAAAATAAATCAAAGGGATATTTCCCTACAAAAACTGCCCGTTTCATATAAAATTTCGCTCTCTGTGCAAATGCGTAATCGGTTTTGGCATTACCAGCAAATTGGCTGCCATATCCAGCGCGCTCTGCATATGCAAATATGCAACTGCCGCAAAAGCAACAACAAGGGCATCGCGACCTGTCCAACTGCTTTTGGCCATCTTCTTCATCCTTCGGTTCGGCCGGCCCGCTTATCACTTATCGTAATCTTGTAATTACGTGTGTTCCACAAATGTTAATTGCGAAAGGGAAACATCGATAGGCTAAGGGCATTCCCAGCTGGTCCTCCATCTGGATTCCCTGCTCTTCTGGTTGAAAGTTTAAACGAGTTGTTCACATGGCAAATCATTAATTTTACGAGTGTTTATTTTTGAGAGATTCTTAAATAGCTCATAAAACTATCTAGAATTTAGACGGCCGATTCATTAGGGTTTTCATCATTTAAGTCGCTGGATCGACGGAGTTGCACGAAATGCATGGCCACAATCAGTAGGAAATAGACTTCTATTGCTTGGGGAAAAATATTATTTGGAATCCAACAGCTCATGTCTAATTTTGTACCTAATATCGGCATGAAAATCAACGACAAAACCGTGTGGTTATAGGCAAAGATTAGGGCCAGGATAACGATCAAGTAAACAATCGTCATAAAAATCGACTTGCCCAACCACATCGCTACTGTAATTAGGCCGGACTGCAATTTAGGATTAGAATATCATTCCGTTTCTTCACCTACTCACCTTCACACTCAAAAGCAGTGCGATGTCTGTCAAAAGGTCTACTACGAGAATCAACGTCGCCTGAACACGATTTTTCATCATGGTATCGGTGATTAACTCGTGAATAGCGTCCCCACTTTGGGAATCAGCGTAATACCAATGCATAACTGAGGGGAACATTTTCAAAATATATTACTAGATAATAATGTTGCGCTTTTACAGAGCGGTCCTGGAATAAAGAAGATTATCAGGTGATAAATTAGGCGAAGAAAATCAATTATAACGTAGGAAGTTCCTATCACAAGTACTCCAGTGGTAATTGAGAAACGACAAAAGAATTTGTTTATTAAAGCCATGATAGAAACATTTACTGACTTGTTATTTTTCTAGAGTGTCAGTTTTAGAAAAGCCATTTAGAAAAACCAAGCTTCTCAACAGCTGCTTGCGCAGTAAGTGCTGATAAAATTATACGACTATAATTTACCCAACAAGTTGCCAATTTAAAGGCCCAAAACATGTCAGCAAGTAATTAAATTTCTATACCAATTTGCATATGTACAGGCGCGCAGGCAACCCTGTTTTCCTGCGCGCCTGTGTGCGTGTGTATCTGTGTGTATGGGCCACTTAACATAGCCGTTGGCTTTGGCCAACTAACGAACTGAACGAGAGACCGAAATAAAAACAAGGGGACTCGACTCCGGGAACACTTAGAGATGGGCGATATATGAATCTTTAAGATCCCAGTCACAACTGAAGTCACAGATTCCAAAAAATTCTCTTGGTTAGTCATAGACAGTTTTATTTAAAATGTGTTTAAACTGAAAAATCACTTGTTTTAAAAGCCATAAGGGTTTGTCGACTGAATGTTTTATAATTAAATTTATGATTTGTTTTTAAAGAAAAAATGTCAGAGAAAAAGTACTATGCTAACTTTCAAAGCGTGCTAAACTAAGAAAAACTGCAAAATTAAATATTCTCATATTGATTTATTTACACCTTAAAATTATACATTTTGGAAGAATTGTAAAAAATATTGATTTTAATTTTCTTCTTAAATTTAGCTATTCTATTATAAACCCTCAAAACACCACAAATATTTTCTGAGTCTTCTAAAATTTAAAACAAATTTGACTTTGAGAAATATTACAAGTTTTCAGAACTTTTTAGGCAGATTAAATATCTAATAGTTTTGGAAAACTTCTTGATAATCGATAGTTTGCGACTCGCTGAAGTTACCCATCGCCAGGCAGCATCTTGGCTGTGTCTCCCCTGCTAACAAGCTCCTAACCGGCCCTTCGTCCGCTCCCGCTCCCGCCGCCGTCGTCTGCCTTCCTGCCGGAGTTGTTGGTGGCTCGGTCTGCCGGCCGTGTTGTTGCCTCGACTGCTTTAAATGTCTGGGCGTTCGTGCGTTGCCTGCAACGCAGCAGAGCAGCGCATAAACATGCACATCGTTAAGAGACGAGACCGGGCTCAGACCCAGGCCCAAATCATGGCCCAGACCCTTTTGGGGCCCCGCTACCCGCTACTCCCCAGTCCCCTGCCCCGTCGCCACTTGTGACTCGTTTCCAAGCCGGTCATTTAGAGGCCAGGCCCAGCATGCCTTCCACCACATATCCGTACAATCAACAAACCTGGCCAGAAATGTTTTCCCTCTTTTTATTTTCTTGTTCTTTTTTGGCTTGTTTTGGCCTTTTGACTGCTCTTTGTTTTCGTGTAATTGTTCTGACTGCCGTTCTTGTTTACGTCTCATTGGCTCCCGAGTTTCTTTTTTCGGGCGAAAGATCGCCCCTCCATATGTTCGAATCTCGAGTCTCGGGTTTCGTTATCTAATATTGCTGGGAGGAAGCATTAATTCGCGGCTCGTTGGCAGATCCTTCTTTTCATAGTCCAACAGTCTCCGCTCGACGGACTGCTAATTTATTTCGCTCTTGTGCCTCGTACCTCGCTTCCTATCTAGAAAAAACCAATTTAAACTTTATTTATGGCTTTTATTATTTTATACCCTCTATATTTGGCATTTTTCCTGTTGCTTTTTTTCTGCTCTTTGCAGCTGCCTTCGACTGGCGATTGTCAATTTTTAACCTGTTGTGCATACTAATTTGTCAGGAGCTGGCTTTTTTGGTATTTGATTTTCCATCTTACTGTCCCTGGAGAGCGTCTCTTCCCCATAATTTAAGTGACACTTTGGATGATTTGTGGCCCGAGCGAAAACGCCTCGGCTGATTTTTTAATTAACTTTTGTCGAACCATAAATTAGGGCTGTTTAAATATTTATTGTCTGGTCTGCTTTTTTATAAGATCCTTTAACGTTGCCAATCAAAACGTGGCAGACTGGCAGGCCAAAAGTTCTCTGGCTAACGCATAAATTAAACCGCGATACCGAATTCCAGCAATCCCCGAGATTCATCAACATCATTAGTTATAGGTCGAAAACCCGACTGAAACCAGAAAACCACAAAAACTAATTTATCACACAGATGGTTCTTGCTTTGTTTTAATGGTTTTTGATGGACAAAAGGGAAGAGTTCGATAACGCAAAACCAAAACACGACCAATACGACTGGCGAAAGAATTGAATTCCACGTTTTTGGTGGGGAAAATTCGAACGAGACCTGGTTGAGACAAAGGAAATAAAGCAATGTGAATTGTTTATCAAGCCGTTGCCATAAATTCATATAAAACTGCAATGCGAAATTAAACTGCACGCCAACGCAACGCAAATGAGCAGGCAGTTTAAGTAAACACAAAACGCTTTGTAAACAGACACTCGGATGAAAACCCTGGAGAAACGAAGAATTTCATTTTGAGTCAAGTGGATTTCACCTTAAATTTCAATTGAGCTTTTTGTTAGATATGCCTTTATTTTACCTATTCTTGTTAAATACGGGCACTTGAGAAAATCGTTAATAAACTTGCACAATCCACATTTATATACTTTTTATTTTCAATAATTATTCATTATTACTATTATTCGAAACAACATTTGCAACATTTTCTATTTGCCGTGTACTCGAACTCATTTGTGTGTGTCGTTTGTTGGAAAAAGAGTTTCTGGGAGCAGCACAAACAAATCGAGGCAGCCTCTGCGAGTGCGTGCGTTTAAATCCATCAATAGGCACATTTGTAATTGTTACAATGGGCAGCCGACTCCGGCTGGGGCCAATGGCATATCCCTCGGATTCGGAATGGGAATGGGGTATTGCAGGGCAGCAACAAATCATTCTCTAATGTGTTGATACACAAATTGTTCGCCGTTTGTGTTTAATTTCTCCCTTATGGCCCAAGCATGCTAATTAACAGCAAACGAGGGAGATACCAGCAGCATCCGCTCCTTTCTCTTTCTCGGCTTCCTCTGCAGCTCCACAGCATAGATACATAGATACATAGATACATAGATATGACTATATGTATCTGCCTCTTTCTCCGTCGCACAGTCATTCGCACTCGATGTCTGCCTTCAAGAGTCGGAGCTGTGGTATGCCATGCCATCTTAATAATGACATTTATTTGTAACGTGTTAAGATACTAAATTGCCCCGGCCACATGCAACAGGCGGCACATAACCATAACTGAGCGATCCATCTCATCTCGGCATGTCACTGCGGAATACCTGGACCCAGGCATATGAATATATATTATGGCCCACCGGATTGCGGTTTGTCCTCATCTTCCGACCGAGTCTGGGCAATTTTCAACAATTTGCTGCCATTTGTGTGCAGCAACGGCAACGAAGGCAAGAAAAGCGATAACAATTTCCATGACTCGAGCTTATTACCTTTGGTATGCGTAATAACTTTGGTGCTGCACACGAATTACACTGGTTGAAAAGGTTTTGGGTATGGAACTTAAGAACTTAAGATATAAAAAAAAGAAAAGCCCCTAAAAGGATTACAAAACCACCACCATTAGAACCTATGTTTCGATATTTGTATCTTTTGTATTCAACAATTGACCTTGAACATAACCTTTAGGTGTAGGAATAATATAATATAATATGAATCCTATTACGTAATTATGAAACGAGCACACTTTACCTAAAAACCAGCGTTTCTCTCAGTAACTCCCACCTTGTTGGCCAGTGTATCTGGGCTCCGCAACCTGGACACCTCCTCCGATTCAGTCCAGCAATCAGCCGCAGCTGCCGAGGTGCGTGTGAGTGAGTTCCTCGGCTGGATCTCGGCAATTGTTATAATTTGCCACATATTGAAATTAAATTGCCGGGCCATAGCTGCAGCTACGGATCTGCGTTTTTGCGCTGGTGTTTCGTTTGCATGTATCACTCACTCGCTCACCTTCACGGTAAATGCAGTTGGCGCGCTTGACTAATTTCGCATTCATGCCTGCACTGGGTGCAAACAGCTGGTTTAGCCGGGTGCGTTGATGTGTGGCTGCTCCCACAAGTTTCCGCTTCCACTTGGCCACTCGATTGGCTGTTGACAGGCGGCTATTTGCCTCCTTGGCTCAGAAGCAGGCAAAAAATTGGGACATCCTTAGATAATTAAATAAGGTACAGGGGAACCAACCACAAGATAGACAATTTCAAAGGAGAATACAGATTAGGCAAGATAAACTGTGAACACATCACGACTTCACCCATAGGTATATCCCCCAAAATGGGAGCGTTATAAATTTCGCTTATGACACCTCTCTTGACAACGGACAGGCGGTAAATATGCATAGGAAGGTGTCAAATCGAGTCAACTCAACTCCACAGAACTCGTTTTGCGACCAAGACGCGCATTTAAATACAAAAGAGCAGATTCGACGCTTAAACAAATCAGCTAACAGTAAATAACCTGTTGCGTTTGCGCCATTAACGTCGAACTTCATTATGCTGATATACGAGCTGTGGCAGGGAGCATAAAGCAAAATTCGGGCCCAAAAGCAGAACTTCGGGATATCGCCAGAGTAATTTTACACCAGTAGACAACAACTTCATTATCGCATAAGCTCCGATTACATGCGTGCCAGAGAGCCCAAAAACAAAATCTTTTAAAACAAAAGGGGAACCAGAGGGAACGAACAACAATGCAAACATAATCATTATCGAGATTACGGCCGAATTTATCGAGAGCCACAGACTCCGGTGCTTAACGAGCCCAAAAGATGCCTTCATGGCATGCACCGGGAAAAAATAATGAGAATTGGTTAGGATTTTTTTTTATATTAGGTAATACTACCGATAATGTTTGAAATTTTCATTAAAGAATGTTATTTTTTCTAGGAATTCTAAAACTATTTCACATTATGGGTTAACTTACTGCTGGTTTAAAAAAATATTTAAAGAAGGAACATTTGGTTATATAATTGATTATACATATTAGTAATTTTGCTATCTGTAGGGATATCTCTTCTTTCTGCCATCGGTTGGG